GATCCTCTGCAGTGAATGGGTGCCGTCAGAATGAGAGTCCGAACATCTGATAAAAACATCACAATAATCCACAAGTAATCTGCACGACTCCTGTCCATCAATGAATGTCTTGTTAAGCAAAAAGCTGCGTCCATCATCTATCAAGGCATTTTTAGCTTCAAGCCATCGTCTATAATCCATAATAACGCTTCCTCTAGTGAAATAAATCCATCCCCTGTTGTCCTCTCACATCATTATATACCAGCATATTTGTTTAGATGTGTTTTGGACAGTTTTTGCTTGTAATCGGTGCTTGTTATGTGCATATTTCTCTGAGGATTCAGCCAAGATGACTTTTTCTCTGGAGAAAGCAATATTATGGGTATTTTAACCAGAAGCAAAAGTTTGAAGTTAAAATATAATAGACTCTCCAGGTTTAAACACAAAACAAAATCATATGCATATTTAAAAATGTACATGTTTACTCAATCATCTCTCCATATAACGAATGTAATAAGTTATAAATAATAATAAAAAAGGATAATAAAATGAAGTACTCGAAGTGAATAGCTATGTAAGTTTATTGTAGTTCTCACTAAATATCCACATTTCAGTTTCAAGCACAGTACATTTTCATTTTCAGTACATTTTAAGAATGTCATTTAGAATTTTAAATGGTTAACAAATAACACCAAGATATGTCATACATGCCTGTGTGTATGTTTGTACAGACCATCAGACCCAAGGAAGGCTGGCAGGTGTACAGTTCAGCGCAGGATGCTGACGGTCGCTGCATCTGTACGGTGGTGGCACCAGAACAGAACTTGTGCTCCAGAGACGCAAAGAGCAGACAGCTCCGCCAGTTACTGGAGAAGGTGTGTGTGTGCACATAATGTGTGTCTAAGAACTCTGAAGTCATTTTATATTGAGATCTGGTTTAGATAACAAAAGCTCTCATTTTAGCAATTTCAAAGCATTATGCTAGACTGCTCGCCATTGTCATCTATTAAGAATGCCACAGGCTTCTCTGCAGCTGATTGTGGAGCTGATGATGGTAATGCAAAAAGGCCTGAAGAGTTCTTTAGGCCCCCTCTTGTTTCTACTTCCTACGCATTTCTTCTGTGTTACTGTAAAAATTCTGCAACAGTTATTGGCCCATAAGATGTATCTATGTCTTTCTTTTTTTGGTGGATGCTAGTGAAGGAAGTAATAGGGTTGACGATACATAGTCTCATTTTTATCCTGTTTTAAATGTGTCAGTTGTGGTATGTCTAAGATCTTTCCGTCTTTACTTGGGTTGCGTTAAGTGGAATTATGGAAATGCAGAATTCCTTGGAGGCATAGTGTCAGGGCTGATTTACACCAGTTGAAAATATAATTTAAATCTATCGCATCTTCCTTTTTGCAGTTCAAAGAATGATTAATGGATCCTAACTTCATTTCGGCCCATCTTACTCTCTTAAGATTCAGAACATGTCGCAATCGATCGAAGTGCTGAACCTGAGGACCCAGAGGGACTTCCAGTATGTCATGAAAATGGAGAGCCAGATGAAAGGACTCCGATCAAAGTTCAGACAAATCGAGTCGAACCGAAGAACATTATTGACTAAAAACTTTCAGGTGAGCTACCATTAAAGTCATGCCTCAGAGAAAATCAATGGTCCTTTCTCATATGAACAGAACGGTTGGAAAAAGCCACATTCGTGCCATTACTCTCCAAGAATGACGAATCAAATCCCACTTAAAAGCTTCTTGTCTTTATCCTTCACAAACATTTCAAAAAGCCACACACTGTTCAGCATTTCTGGAAATCCTGTAAACACCAAAAGGTCATGTTTGATTTCAAAACATTAATATCAATTGGGTCTAGCATGTCATTGTTCATAACGTCTTGCTGTTTACCGGGCGAGCTGTGCCATGCTCTTGCATCTGTTTCTGTAAATGTAAGCAGTTCTCCCCTCATGTGATTTCTATTTAAATGTCTGTCTGGTTTTGCAGGAGCTGAAGGGGAAGATGAATGAACTGCAGCCGCTGATTCCAGTGCTGGAGCAGTACAAGACTGATGCCACACTCATTTCCCAGTTCAAGGAAGAGATCAGGAACCTGTCTCTTGTGCTGACTGCTATCCAGGAGGAGATAGGAGCGTATGATTATGAGGAACTCCAGCAAAGGGTCCTCGGCTTGGAGGGAAGACTGAGGAACTGTATGAACAGACTCAGTGAGTTGAACTCAACATGACTTCCGTGGTATTTTCTTTTGTGGTATGGTATTTGTTCCTTTAAAGTTGAAGATGTGTTGACATTACTTGTCATTCTCCACTGTGTCAGCCTGTGGTAAGTTGATGAAAATCACGGGGCCCATCACTGTAAAGACATCAGGAACGAGGTTTGGAGCTTGGATGACAGACCCTCAGGCTTCACCTAAGAACAATAAGGTAATAATGACCATTATAATGGACA